TTAGGAGGCTAAGCTCTAACAACAGTGATGAACTTGGACCCCGCATGAACCATTCTAATCAAATGATTTGACCTTTGTATAATACCTGATGAAGAAGATGAGTCCAGTACATTTTTTTACCTTTGTTTTGCTTTAGAAATGAAAGGAGTTCAAACGCATTTGCTTATATTTTCATTGTGACTGCTTGTCTTTTTTTTTATTACTTCTAAATGACAAGTAGCCATGAAATTTCTTAAGGCTTCAGAAGACTTGAAATTCATGAGAACTGGAAGTAGAAATTGAGATTATGAAGAAACATTATAGATGTGAACTACAGCATTAGTCAGAAATTTACAAGCAGTGATTGTCAAACATTTATGTATGAGCTTTTAAGAATACATTTAAACCCTTCTTTTTTCAAGTTGAACACAATATGAAGGTCTAACCTTAAATAGTGTTGTCATCAGAATTTGGTTTACATTCATTGTGCATTACAGTAAATTGGTGGTTTTCACCGGCATAAATAATGTTTTATTTGACTTTTGTGTTTCATGCAAATTAGTAAAGCCATTTTTGTCGTTTTGCTCTGTTATTTTCATGAGTTTTAATATTTTGTTGTCATGGTTTCTGTGTTTGTTCTGTAACTTTTATTCTGTTAAGCTTGTTAGTTTCCATCAGTGCGTCTGTTCCATGCCGTGATGGCAGTGTTTTTACTGTTAGTCTCACCTAGATCCAATCTACATGCTTTTAACTCAGATACTCATTATCTACTTTTTGCTGGTTCCCCAGGGTGTGGCATTTTTGCTTTTCTTCTTTCACATTTTGGGGTTTTGTTTGCAATGCCTCCTCATGAATTTATTTATTTTTATCATCCCTTCCCATTGAACACTTTCATTTGCTGCATTCATTGTCTCAGTCGGTATTTGAGTTATCATTCAACCACCTATAAAATTATCCACAGAATTTTAAATATGACTGACTTTTGGAGAACTCAAGAAGCTTAATATTATTGAACTTGGTCCATTCCCAGACTAGTTTTAGATGGTTCTTAGAAACATTGATCTACTGGAAAGCCCGACATCTAGTTGTTGATTTAAGGTGAATAATAATTTCTGCCTTTTGGAAGAAAGCTTAATGGTTTGATGAGCTGCTTGGCCATAATCACCATAAGAATGTTTGGAAATCACAAGTTGGCTTTTCAACTGGGTACCAGGGGTTTTCAGATCAAGGTGCATCATCTATACACCTGAATCAAATAATCAGATCATTGGAAAAACTCTGGAGAACTTGACTGCATAAAGAGTTAATCAGCCATTTCGTTCAGGTGTGTTGGACTTTTACAAACTGCTGGACGCCGATGCTCGAGGCTTGGATTTGAACACCCCTGGTATATACAATTTTATTGCAGATCTACAGCCTGTTTTTCACCCACTAAGAAACATCCTAAGGCAGATTGCAGGGAGGAACCGAACTACTGTTAGGTGACACCATTTTTAATGCAGCTACAAAATAATGACACGCCCTTACAGATGATAAAATGGCTGATATCTGGGTCACATTAATCACTGTCTCCCAATCAGACAGTAAGTACGAGGGCAGTCAAGGTTAATTTTCTATTTCATGATATAACTTAAGAGTTTATGTACACACACGCCAAAACCAATTGTTCAAGATAAATCTGTCTTAAAAGCCATGGCATCAGAGTGGTAGAGACAGTGTCTTAGAACACAGTGTGACATTAGGTGCGTGAGCTGAATGCCAACTCCCGCCACGCAAGCTGTAGTCTTTCTCCGAGCCCTTTAAAACGTGACAAATTTTCCAGCACCCCTGATTCGAGCGCCCCCTCTGCAACTGTTCCCCGTCTCCATGAAGATCATAAATCCTTGGTCCCATACCTTAGGTGGATTTGTCACATGACTCTTTGCAGTGGGCAACCCCCCTTTAGCGCAACAGTCTGATAGTATTTCATGAGTCAAAGACCGACTGTGGAGGCACACAGGGAGATTTATGCATTTTAATTGGATTGGCTCTGTGGCCCCCATGCTGGGGGTGGTTCTTTGAGGTATTGATTCTCTGTTCAGGTCTTTGGCTTTTTTACATTTCATAGAACTTTGTCAGGACTTTTTGGCTTGAGAAATAGGATGTTATAATAATTAAGTGCATATGATACTATATCAGGCATCAATGAGCTGCCCAGAATGATCAATGTGCAATGCACCAGGCTTATTGCCAAGGTTTTTTTTTTCTGTCTTGTTAGTATCTACGGCAGGTACTCAGAAAACTTATTTTATGCAGTACACCAGCAGATAGGGGCAAAGATTTTTCGAATCTCATTAGAACTTGTATGCTGCTTGAAAAATATGTGTTTCCTGAGAAGCAAGAGAAAGCAGCGTCTTGCACTTTTCCCCCTATTTTGACATGCTACTGCAGTACTCAAAGGATTTTATTGGGATTTTTTAATAGAATAAAACACAGAATGCATTGTTCTGAACCATATTTTTTATTTTTATTACAAACAAAAATCTGGAAAGTGTGGCATGCATTTCAGCCCAATTAAAATGATCTGCTCTCTCTTCTTCCTCTGCACACTTTGCAATCCTTTATGTTGGGCTGTCACATAAAATCATGAACATGATAAAATCTGAAAAAATAAAATTGCAAGAATACTTTTGCAAGTCTCCACAAATAGTATTGGCGCTGTAAGATCGGACAGCGCTTGTGACACTGAGGGCAAACCAGTGAATTACTTCCGCCCGTTTTAGAGACCCTGGCAGACATTTCCATCACAGAGGTTTGTCAGCTTAAAAATAGGTGGAGAAGCTCTACAGATCCCATCATTTGCCGTCCTGCCCGGGAAAAAGCCACTCATAAAAGGAACCTTTTCAGTTGAGACATTGTGTCTGCTGTTGCAGAGGCATTATCCACCTCTTAGAACAAAGAAATCATTCCACGGTAAATCCATCACCCAGGTGTAGATACACTCCCTGTCATACTTTTTTTTCTCTCTCTCTCCTTCCCCTTCGTCGTCTATTTCTCTGACCCCCTCTTCAATCGGAGGTGAGATGGAGATGGATAGAGCCTGCAGCCACAGAACATCCCAAGAGGACTCCGAGTCCCCCTCACAATGCGCCACGACTAGTACCACCCACTGCATCAATGTCACTATCAAGCAGCAGGCTAAGAGCGGATCAGTGTGTCACATACACAACACAACGCTTCAGATCCAAGCCCTGAACACTGACATGTGTTGCCACCTCGCGCATAGCCCGGCTCTGTACAACATATTGCCAGCCCTCCGACGTATACACAACGGCTCATCAGGCAGGAAAATCAAAAGACCGCTCTCCCAAGACTAAAGGAGCACTGCGGCTGTTATTATACCAGAGCCTGTTAATGATCAGCATCTGTTCCTCTCTCTGCAAGCGTTAGCTCTGCTCCCTTATAACAAGGCTGTGTGCAAAACTCCCAGTAACTTTTTTCTTCTTCTTCTTCATCTGGTAGAAATAATGCTGAGGGTGGTTGAAATGTGATTTAAAGAGATGCTTGTTTGTGGAGATATATTAGCATTTCTTGTAGGCCTATTCTTCAATGTATGCAAATATTTGCCTGGGTTTTTACATAACACTGGAGCTCCGACTATTATTATTGTTTACTCGTTCCAAAAAATGCAAGCACAGCTTATAATTTCAAAGAATCATATTTTAAAAATGTATATATAAATAGAATGTAAAATAAGCCAACAGCCTATATAACTGAGTAGGAATTATTTTACATCTCACCTATGTCCTGCTTTACACTGCTTGTCGTCATAAATGAATGCTCTTCCTGGCTGTCAATATATTATTTGTGCAATTTGAAGTATTATTGGTGTGGTTTTCATTTATACATTTAACCAAAAGAAGGATGAATGGTTCGTGGAATATTAATCTCCAATTTCCAAATTTTTGACATTTCCCAAACTTCAAAAAACATCCTTCTCTCCTAAAAGTAAGACCAATAACAAAATTGTTACGGTTGATGATAGTGTTTCCATATAAAAAGCAGATGTTACACCATTGACAGATATTTTAAGTTATGACGCTGAATATTTTGTAAAGCTGTCAGAAGATTTCATTCAGATCTTATTTTGGGCTTTTAATACATGTTTTTGAACTGGAAATGTATGTCTCATTGTTTTTTGTTGTGTTTTTTAACAATGTTTAGAGGTTAAACATGAACATATATACTCACAATTAGCCCTTACAAATGATGGCAATCTGTAGAAGTTTCAGAAGACACTCTGGTTGCACTCATCTTGAAGGGTCCAGGGCCAAGTTAGTAATATTTTGTCTTTTTGCTGTCACTCTCTAAATATTTTCCTTTCTAACTTTCAAAGTCTGCCTGTCTCCCATTAATGGACACAAACACTTTGCTGTGGTTGAAACAGAAGCGGTGGGGAATCTTATCTTTCCCTGAACACAACACATTTATTTTCAACGAAAAGTCGTTTTTGTGGCCAAAACTGTCTTTGGTTCCAAATGACAACCTGTAAAGAGAAAATTACCCAAAAGCCAAACAGTGAACAATATTGCCAATGTTACAGTTTGATTGGATTCGTGTTGTGCTGGTCTTAGACACCTGTGGCCCATTGGGCGGCTCACTTTGTTTCACTTTGTTACCTGGCCAAAATGAAACAACGGGGGGCCATTTTAAATTGATTCACACTGACTAATTCATGATTCATATCTGCCACCTGTGGCTCAGTGTACTGCTGTATTGGAGCGGTGAGTGGCTCCACTTTACCGCTAGAAAGCAATCCTGAAAATAAAAGCTTGAACATTGTTTCCATTTCAGGGTTATTTCTTTACTCCCACAATCATTTGTTTTTGTCTGTTCCATATACAAAAGATATATCCTGAAACTGCTGTTTCTTCTTTCTTTACCTAATCTCCAGAAATCTTATTTGGATTATAAGTAGAAGAATCGTATTTTCCGTTTCCTCTTGACGCTACTGAGCAACTTCTGTTCTCATTTCTTTGCAGAACACAGACCCTGTTCACGAAATGCTCCTGGACGTCATTACATGGGTGGGGATCCTGCTTTCTCTGGTGTGTCTGCTCATCAGCCTCTTCACCTTCTGCTTCTTCCGAGGCCTCCAGAGCGACCGTAACACCATCCATAAGAACCTGTGCATTAGCTTGTTCATAGCAGAGTCCCTGTTCCTGGTGGGGATCAACCGGGGGGACCAGCCGGTAAGAGTAACAGGGGGATTGCTGTCCATCAAATGAAATGCAGTGATATTTTTAATATTTCATTTCAAGTGAGTTTATAGTCATAAAAGTAATATTGATATTGTTTATACCTGTTTAAGTTTAAAGTCAGGAAGAACTTAAATTTCAACCTCATTTCACTCTCATATTTTTTGTAGCTCAGGTTTAATTACTTTCTGCCAAAATTAAATAAAGTAAAATGTAATTCCCAAAGGGAAAATATTGCCGATATATACACAAGCCCTTGCACTTAGCTGTTGTTCGCTGCAATTCAGTAATTTCATGGTGTCAGTCAGAAGGTGTATGTCTGTCAAAATGAATCTCCCCCGTAAGTGTGTCCACCATCTTTGAATCTTCCAACCTGAAATGTTTTGGGAAGAGCTATAACCTTTTGTGTCGTGCTGTGCTGAGAGTGGGGCTCCCCGCTGAGTGTCAGTGGCCCTGGACTATTTCGCTTCTGTTTGGCTTACCGAAAAGAAATACTGAGAAAAAAGGAACCGAGAAGCATCCATTAAACAGGATCTGCCTCCCATAGACGTGCAGAAGTGCACACATGGTTCAAAGTTTAGTTGAAGACTCTCACAACAACCCCCAACTCGCCTACTGATAGATCAACGTTATACGGAACACCTTCAACCCCACTACAGCCTTTGGCAAAAATGTACTTTTCATCTACTTCAGGCTAATCTGGATTAGAAGCACCCTTTCTTGTGTGATGACTGGAGTTTGGGTGCAATTTCTTTTCTGGTAGAGCTCAACTGAGGTAACAGGTGAGAACACCCTGTCAGTGCAGTCATTTTCAGGAGTGTACACTCAATACTCAGAGAGCAGAAAATTGGGCAGTCATTTCGTACTTTGAGCTTAGCAAAGGACTTCAAAGGGACAGTTCCATTTTTTTATTACTTTAAAAGCTTTTAAGCAGTTATTATCTTACCTCTTGTAGATACTTTTCTTGGACTCCTCTTTTAGTATAATCAGTTTGTCAAAAAAGCTGGCGACTCAAAGCAACTCAGTATCAGAAATGTAAACATACAAGCCAAACATTTGAGTTAAATCAACCATATCTGAGCTACAGTTCGTCAACTGTAAAACGACACTCAAAGTAAAGTTTTGCTTTTTGGTTCCATCCATTCACACTAACAGGGATATCACTTAAGAGTTCTTTTTAGGTCCATTTTTATTTTCTGTTTTTTTTTTTTTATCCGCTCACATTAAAATACATTAGATGGTAGCTTACAGGTGAGGCTGTACATGAGAAGACTGACCAAGAGAATTCAAAAAAGTAATGGGAAATAGAGGAGCAGGCTAAACTGGAAAAATAGTCAGTTTTTGTTTGGGGTTTTTTTTTTTTTATCAGAGACCCTCGATGATCATTTCAATGCAAGTTCCAATGTATGCATAGAATCAATGTGCTTACAGAGTAATTATCAATAGAAAAGCAAGGCAGTGTTCACTGGAAGCTTTACAATATTGTTCTTTTAATAACAGCTTTAATGTATATTAGACTGTCAGCATGTGTTTCATACAGGAAGCTTATTGGTAGCGCACCAGCCCTGTTCTCTATTTCCTGTGTAAATAATCAACTTCTATTTCAATAAACACCTGAGTGAAACTCAGTGACATTTAGAAGCTCCAGAAATTAACTTTGGATTTAAGATAGGAGTTGTTTAAGGTGGTAAAAATCCACATTAGTCGTGGAACCTTTAGAACCAGCAGTTGTTTTTTTACTTCTGGGACAAATTCATCTGGATTTGTTTCAAATGAAGAAGTCAAGAGAATTAGCTGCTGAAGTGTTACATATTGGAGAAAACCTCATTTTAAAAATTCTGAACTACTCTGAGAATTCACCTTTTCCTTCTGCAGCATTCTGCCCTTTTTGGATAATAGTAAGGCAGACAATCCATGCTTATTTCTGGAATACACATATCTAACAGTCTGTATGATCATATGCAAGGCTATTCTTTATTGCTTATTATCATCTATGAAGCATTTTACAACTTTTAAATAATTATAAATGGAAAAGTCAAAAATAAGAAATTATACACCTTTAATTTAGATCTGTTTAGCCAATCTAAACAGATCTGTGATTTCCTGTTGGAGATAAAATTACTCTCAGAAGGTAAAAACTACAGACCGTAGTTTAGCCGCAAAGCTAACTTTCTGTGAAGTTAAAGATAATGCTTCAGGGCCTGCACCTTTTCCTCCCATAATATTTTATGGGTATGACTCACAGCCCAGCAGTTGAATCACTTTCATGGACTGCAATTAATGTCCACTCAACCTCTTAGTTATTAAACTGAATCCATTCCAGTATCAAAATACTCTAGTTATGTCCAACTGTGCCAATAATTGGATCAATCCACGTAAGTGCGCGAGCAGACACGAGGAGAGAGCTTTCTGCTGTATTCACTTCGAGCTCAGAAAGTATGTAACCACATTATGAACCTGCACCTGGTTGATGTTGTTGCCCTAAATGGCTCTTGGACAACAGACTTCCACTTTTTCATATTTCTCTTACATCCATGCCAGCTACAGCAAACAAGAACTCCTGGGCTGCAGTGTTCTACTGCCAGTCACCACAGGCAACAATCCAGTGGCTTCAGCCAAACAAAGCATCGCCATTTTAATTGTGAGAAATGCTGACTCGGGGAGGTCAGGAAATGCTGCTGAGTGGAGTTACTTGGATGACTTATTTTTCTGTTTAATTATTTTAGGATAACATTTTGATTATTCAAGACCGACTATTGTTAAAAGTCAAGACAATAACGATCAAATCTGTCTTTTTGCTTCCCCACCTCTCCCTGTGTCACGTTATTTCTGTTGTCGTTAAACCTTCCCAGATTGCGTGCGCCGTTTTCGCCGCCCTGCTCCACTTCTTCTTCCTGGCAGCCTTTACATGGATGTTCCTCGAGGGGGTGCAGCTTTACATTATGCTGGTGGAGGTGTTCGAGAGCGAGCACTCGCGCCGACGATACTTCTACCTGGTCGGGTACGGCGTGCCAGCTCTCATCGTGGCTGTCTCAGCGGCAGTGGACTACCGCAGCTACGGAACAGACAGAATGTGAGTGCAAATTCAAATGAACGTCTCACTAATTGCATTACAAAAAAGCAAAGTAAATGTTTAGAGGAAACATTTATGTTCATGGTGATGACATGGTTCTTTAAATAAATTAGAATTGATTAAAACCAGTATCCTCAGGACTTAGCTCTGCAACAATCTGGGATCAGAAATCTGCCACAAAAGCACAATTGGTGCAACGCAGATTATCTGTAAAGTTGTGTGCAGGGTTACCTCTTGCCAAATGCATTGCCTGGTCTCTGAACTGCAAAATACACTGCAGTGTCTGTTGCAGAGCAGAGGATCACTCTCCATTTCTCTCCGTTAATCTCTGGCCCATCTGAGAATAATGAAGACCAGCATCAGCAGTTTGCTGAGATGTTTATCACGCATGCCACACACACATGGGCTGGCCACAGAGCTAGAAAGACAGTGCATTTGTAGATTGGCAGCGCAATAGTTCTTGGTGATGGATGAGGTGATAGCTGCCACCGCCTGAGCCTTGGCATCATGTGAATAATTAAAGCCTGCCACCGGTGGAACAATTATATGCTGCCATTGAAGGATGAGGCGACGGATAAAGCATGACACGTGGTGAATAGCAAAAGGTAGTGGTGGTGTTGGGTGAAGTGGGAGTGGGAGGGTTGGTATGTTGCGTTGCTGCAAATTGATTCTTGGTGCTGCGGCTGCATTGTCATGGGCGGGGTCACTTTGAGCAGAAATATCCAACAAATTGCAGTGGCCCAGTTGCAGCAGATGGATGATGTCCAGTGGTCTCACGGTCAAGCCCATTGCGAGGCCTTCTTCTGATGTCTGATCAAAGAGGATTTTTATTTTAAATTCCCTAGAAAGAGCTCTAAATGTGCCCTTGATTAAAGTTTGCGGTGTGAGGCTGCTGGTGGTCAGCGGTATAAGAAATTTGTTCTTATTTTTTCACCACAAGAAATGAACGTAATACATCAAAGGAGCAAGGACTTCCTGTTCTACTCAGTAATGTAGTTGCTGATTCAGTGGAGTGTTAGTCCTTTCTGATTTATTGAGCATGTGCAACAAGAGTATGTGTGGTTAAAAGCGCTCTTGTGGACCACATGTGACCCTCTAAGCTTAAACAGTTTGCTGTCAAAAAAGACATTTCTATTCATCATATCTTAAAACAGTAATCTTCCTGCCCTCTACTGTGCCTCTATGTCTTTTTAAAATATTCCTTTTCATTCTGGTTAGATTTTAAAGTTGCCAAAAACAGAAGCTGCACCCCAAGCAAAAAAAAAAAAAGTGTTATGATTATTAGTGTTGAGCTTCCGAGTGTCATTTTTGAGCTTGTCTGAAGAAGGCTGTTACATCAAACCTGATGCCAGGATATGATATGAGGTTTGTTTTACATTGTTTTATCATGGAGATGCATTTGTGTTGTGATCTTAGGAACTCAAATCAAATAGTTGACTCTACACCAGGCTGTCTGTGAAATAACTTGAAGGTTTTTATAGACCGTCAAGGAATATTTTTATACCTTCTGCACTGGTCCCTGAAATCAGTCTTTAAATCAAAATGCTATTGAGGATTTCCGAAGAAAAAAAAATCTGAAAATACATTATTTTATTTTGTCAATACCTGTCCGACATTTTGGTGAAATTGCTGTTTGCGACGCAGGGAGGCAAAGACATTGCCTTCACTGTGGCGATAGCAGGCATTCACTCTGTGCAGATTTGTTTCCTGCAATGCCAGGAAACCAGAGCACAAGGTTCTGGCACGAGATCGCCATGTGTTTAAACTGGCAGACATTTGCATCCATTATCGCTTGGTTTCTGTAGGAGCAGCACAAAAAAAAAAAAAGAGCGAGAGAGAGAAAGAAGCATGCCAGGAGGGGAGATAAAACTGGCTTTGCATGCACCAAAAGCCAGACACAAGCATGACAAGAGTGGCGTAAAGGAGGTAAGGGGAGGCAGAGAGAAAATGACAGCCTCCAGCTCCTGCCGCCTACCAACTCTTTAAATCTCACTGTGATCTGAAGTGGAAGAAGGAGAAACATGAACAATAGAACCTTGAGCATAATTTATAGTGCCGACATTTGGAACATGAGCTTTGATGAGCTGCCAGACTTTTGTGAATGTCGTTCCGCTTTCGTTTGTGTATGTTTGGTGTTTTATGTGTCCATGTGTTTTGTTTTTTTATGCCTCTTTCCTGTCTTCTCTCATCCATTGATACCAGGGAGAGAGAGACGTATCGACTCCCAGTAAAATAAAAGCAACACTTTTGTCGTGTCACTTGTTATGTTGTGTTTTATCTTGTTTCAAAGTGTCGTCTGCTACTTTGAGGAGTTGTTTGGAGGCAAAGGAGAAAAATGTCCAGACTGCCAAATAAGCTTGTTATGTAAATTAAATGCCATTTGCCGCGAATGTTGAAGACGCTGCGTTTTCATTTTCCTTCCCAAAAATCACAGCAAAATGCTTTTTGTCATATTACTTCTCTTTTGTGTCAAGATTTAGTTGAGTTTGCATTAATTTAGAAGATCAAAGTTTGCTTTAGTGCACTATTTTGATATACATTTAAGTTTTGCTCAAGATAATTGAAAAGAAAATGATGCTGAAAACGTTGACAAGTCTTCAGCTCCGTGTACTCTGATACTCCGAGGTGAAAATCACCCAACTAGAAAATCAATATTTTAGTGTAAATCCAGCTTTTGTGTGAAAACCTCAGAGGTTTGTTAGAGAAAAACAGAAAATAAATAGCAGCAAGAAGAGGAAAAAACACAGCAGACATGTCAAGTGGGCACAATACAGCGCAAATCTACTAAGACATGACGATTCATCTAAACAAGAAGGTTCCATGGAAACTCTGAAGGAGATGCAGAAACAAGTAGCTCAAGTAGGAAAATCAGTGGATAAGACAAATATTAGCTTCGTACTCTACAAATATTGCTGGTATAGGAAATTATGAAGAAACCCAATGTTGTAAAGATATGCAAATTGCCACAAGCTTTGTAGACGGCTCTACAAACATGTGGAACTTCACTTTAACACTGCACATCACCCTCAGTCACTATGAATCATGTCATGGTTCTGCAAAGTACTAAATAGTAATGGGCTGAACGTCACAGCTTTTAGATGTTATTTCTAAAAGAAGACAAAAATATGGCAGACCATCACATACAGTCTAAATGAAATACACAAAAACTTGTAGTCGCAACAAGACAAAATAGCGAAAAGTAGAAAACAAATATATTTTTCCATTTTGCCTATCCATCCAGTTATCTTTCTTTTTTTTAAAGTTCCACAAACACTTTAATTTTCCTTCAAATGGTGTTGAGCTACAGCTCGTTTCCCTGCCACTTCCATTCCATGTCAGTCTGAGCGACAGTCGCTGCGGCAAGAACTGTAATTTTCCAGCGGCCAAAAATGGAGGCGTCTATCTGCAGCAGCAGCGGAGATTAAAAGATTAATAATTCAACCACAGGTCATGAATCACATTTTTTTTCTCTCCCCTTATTTCAAAAGAACACTGTCACCTTCCACTGGCCCCGTTTCTGTTTCGTCTCGATTCGGTTCGACAGAGGGCCAAAACGACTTTCTGTATTGTTTGTACGAAGCGTGAGGTCAGGAGACCACTTTATTATATTATTGATGCAGTAATGGCGGCTCTTGCAGAGTAATCACAGTTAACACAGACATGTAGGACACGTCAGTGAGAATTTAAAGGACCATTGGGTCAAGGTCAATCCAATTCCTTTGGAGTGAGACAATTAGGATTCAATTGAAGACTAATTGAATGGTAATTTGCCCTTTAACCTTACAAACTGAAACAGAAAGGAGCTAATTTCCACTCACTGTTTTTTCTTTTATTTCAAGTAACAATTCTGAGTTTTTTGGCCGGTCATTGTCAAGCATCACAATTGATGTCATTGGCAGTTAGAATCTCGTCTTCTCCAGATTTTAGATGATGGTTATAATTCTTTAAGCCACTTTAAGCCAGCATGTTTTGAAGTGCCTGTTTCTCTGTGCCACTCCAGCCTCCGACTTGATGTATTAGCCCTTGAGCTGGAGTATAAAGCTATAACATCATATCCCCCCCACCCCTCTCACTTTTTCTGTTCATGCTCCCCATCCTGTCCCCTTCACTTCACTTTGAATCCCCTTCACCTCTTGTTCTTTCTCTCTTTTTGCAGTTGCTGGCTTCGCCTGGATACATACTTCATCTGGAGTTTCATAGGACCTGCAACCTTGATAATTATGGTAAGCTTCAGTCCCTTCTTCTAATAACCAACCTCCCTCCCCTTCAGCTCATTAACCCTACTTAGCCCGGGGGTCGATGCTTAAATGGTCCACAGAGATCCTTTTTTTTTTTTTTTACCTGGTTCCTCCGTCGAGCACACATGCCACCGTGAGGCATGGAGGCATGCAGAAAAATGAATGAGGGGCGTAGAGGATATATATTGCAGCTTGTCACTGTGCCGCGGTCACTGGCTAAGACAATTTTGGAGGGGAGCTGAGCGCGCCATTGTGGAGCTGCAGAAGCAAAGAGAGAGCGAACTCTGCTCTGTAAGCAATGTTGGAGTAATCCGCATCGCGATTATGATTGATTTTGTTCCCGTTCCAACTTGTACTCCACTACCCTTTCTCCATCTTCTGCTTGCAGCCACACAGTGCGCTCTGTGGCTGAAGATACACATGCATTATGCAGGGAGGACACACACTCTTTTTGTGCCTTTCCAAACCAAGACTGCACATCGCTCCATCCAGAATAGCATCTATTGATCCAGTTGCATTCAATCAGATGCAAGGCTGATGTGTTGCTGAAAATTTACATGAAGCTGTGACTGCTTTTACTTTCATCGAACAGTCTCATCTCAATTTATTTCAGTACTTTAAACCAAAATGAAGTTTCTCACAGAATCCTATCATATTTGACCAATCAAACATTCTTATTTTTAAAAAGTTATATCATCATATTGAGAAATATGCAGTGTTTGTGCACTCAGTACTGGGTTGGGGTTCTCTTGCATGAATTATTGCAGACGTGCTTTGTGAATCTCAACTAATCTGATCCGGTGTCCTTCATCTTCCTCTTTACTGCATAGACTCTCTAAAATATGGATAAAAGTGCACAAAGTTTAGAGAAGATAATACAACTTTTACAGTGATAATACAACAAAATATATCTTCCAAAGTATTTTCCTTATCGATAAACACCAAGTACTCCTCTCAAGTAATAAAAAGTGCATATTATGCATCCCTATGGGACAGTGAAAGCCTTAAAGAAAAATCAATCCTCTGTAGCATTAGTGTCATTCATTTGTGGGAAGTTTTGTGCAGATATCGCCAAGCAACAGAAGCATTCAAACCCATCAAAATATGGGTTTATTTCTCCATCATTTTTGGTCACAGAATCCAGAATTGTTGTTTTGGGGAGAAATAGCAATAAGTGGGGTTGGAGCCAAGGGCGGCAGACACCTACTCCGTTTCACTCGAAGTGAAGTTACCACTGTGTGGACATTTGAGGGTTATCATGTGCAAAAATATGAATAAGAACTAGGTGTAGAAATATTTTTGCAAGATTCTGCATCTCTGATTGTTAAAAAACTTGATAAATCCTAATCCCATCTGTAGTCATACATATCTATCTGCGCAGCCGTGACTGCTTGTCACATGCTTTCAATACGCAACGCAGTTTTACGCATCAGTAAAAAGAGGAAGCACCCACACTACTGCTTTCTCCTTTGTTTTTTCCTCCTGTCTGATTAACAAACAGAAACGGATATATATCATTGAGTTTAGGTCCAATTCTAACCTTTTGGAGTCACATTAATGGTTTTACTCATTTTGTTTCAAGTCTTTATTTGTTTAATCTAGGCTCATATGAACTGAGTGTCACCTGTTTCCAGGAGGAAACCATATTCCATCAGACTAATTGCTGTAATTTTTGAGGAGTCTCTCTAAACAGACCCCACTCACGCTGTGACTACAATTGGCTCATTTTCTGTTTCTTGTGATCACAATCTGACAAAGAGACTATTAATGACATGCACCACAGTTGGTATGTTTATTTATTTTCTTTTTTTTTGTTGTTTTTATGCAAAAGAGAAGGCAGTATTCCTGTGAGGGAACTAAGTGTGAGAGAGTCTCGTTTCACTGGTCCTTTCGCTGTCTGTTTTACCTCCATGGAGGGCTTCAGGGGATTTTGCGCTCTGTTTGGCAAAGTGGAAAACCAAGTCTGGCTGCAGCGTTCTGGCTTTGTGTTACAAAGTGCCCCGATTTAAAATGAATGGGACTGGGACATGAAATGGACCAGCTTCATTCCTTCCCCCCCTCCACCACCTTTCTCTCTCTTTATTTTCTAGCTCAACGTGATCTTCCTGGGCATCGCTCTCTACAAGATGTTCCATCACACAGCCATTCTGAAGCCAGACTCCGGTTGCCTGGACAACATCAAGTAAGAGCACTCTGATCGCTCAGATATCCATTAAAGTCACCCCAAAAATAGCACCTTGCTTGTGCGCCTTTGTTGCAGAGTGAAAGAATGCTTCGGTGTGAAGGCTGGGACCTTGCTCCCGCTAAACTCCGCCTTTCACAGCTAAATTGTGTTGAGTGTGAGCCGACATTCTTCGCTTTTCAATGAACTTTTAGACACAAACCCATGTTTCCAAGGTCAGTTTCCTTTGTCCCACAGTTCCTGCAAAGTCTGGAATAGCTTGGAGTTTGACTTTGGTATTTATCAGGTCTGGTTAAGTGGTGGGGAAAAAAAAGAACGCATGAGTAATAATTTTACTCCTATTCCCATTGTCTCAGTTTTAAGTTCCCTCTTAATGTCCTTAATTTAATCTTTGGTTCCTCCCTTTCCCCTCAATGAATGCTCTTACTTTTGAGTGGTTTTATTTCTTATTTGTGTACTTTTTTCCATCCTTGTGTCTTTTCCTTCTCTCCCCTTCATCCCCCGGCCTCCTTACAACCTTCTTTCTGTTCTTTTTTCCCTGTGCCCTCATTACTTTGCCAACTTTTTTCTTTCCTTCTTCCCTTTCTCTATCCATTCTTATTCTCTACATCCTTTCTTTATGTTATGACTTCCTTCTTCATTTTATTTCTTTTCTTGTGCCCATCTTTTATATTGGTTTATTTTTCCCTTTTGTGTGTTCTTCTTTCTCTAAGTCCAAATATTTTCTGTTTCTCTTTTCCCGCTACCTTGTGTCTTTCCTGCTTTTTTTGTTTCCTTTCTTCTTCCTCAAACTTTTTTTGTAATTTCTGAGTTTTTTTTTCAGCCTTCAGTCCTTTCTTCCCTGGATCCATTCATTTTGTGACCAAGTCTTCCCATGTTTGTTTCCTTCTGTTCTTCCTTCTTGTCTTCCATGCACCTTTTTTCAGGTTCAGTAGTTGTCTCTTTTCTTTATGTCATAAAAGGTGTTGAAGGTGCTGAGGAAGACGCTGTGGGCCGAGGTTGAGATGAAGAATGAATAATGAATTTAATGAAATAGTCAGAAATTCAAAGTCCAAAACCCAGGCGTCACATAATGTTTTAAGATAGAATGTTTTCTATCTACGTCACATTCTCTTGTCCTTCCATGCTTCACTTTTTTCCTTCCTTCCTGGTTTTCAAACATCCATGTTACTCACCTACTTTATTTGTTCCTCGCTTCATTTATTTCCCATCTTTCTTTCCTTCCATTCAGACTCATTCGTCTCTCTCCAGGTTCCATTTTTAAAACTGTATAAATATTTTCTTAATTTTCTTTGTAGCCTTTACCATTTTATGTGCAACATTTGTAGGACTATTTTATGAATAATGTGCAGAAGCCTTGCCTCAGCCCTCTTTGATGATTTCAAATCATTATTAAAAGCACTTAAGTTGCGAACATCCAGCCTGAGGGTAGGGGGAGCCTTTTCTGCAGAGGTAAGCATCTCTTATTATGTTTAAAGGTTATGTCAGCCCAGGTTAAAATCAAACAGGTATTGTGTTGCATCTCCATCATTATCTAAATAGGAAGCTTGGAGGGAAAAAAGGCCTGTAGACAATCTAAAAGCACCCTTGTGTTATCTAGGTGGCAACTCCGAGCAGATGAATATTCATAGCGTCTTTAGTGTTTTTGAATCTATGCCTGGTTATTGTCAGATAAAATGAAACCTTGAGGAAATATACCAGCAAGAAAATGCAAACTTGGAGAGATTGCCACTTAACTATACAATGGAAGAAATAAGTAAGATTTCTGTAAGCAGAATAACATTTAAACGCGCTGTGAGGAAAAAATGTGACTGCAGGATGATGCAGCACTTTCTGATGTCAGGGCAGGATTTTCCTGCATATGGTTTTTAATATTGTTCTGCTGCCTTTCTGTTGTGATAGATACTTGCTGTATAGTTTATGCAGGGTTTTTTTCACATTTTTAAGCCACTTTGGACACATTAGTCTGCCTTATGGCTGGTATTGTGGCTGTATTTATGTGGCATCTCACATCTGCAATGACCTTCATAAAATGACTGTTGTCTCCCCTGCACTTTTTTGATGCATGCACATGTATGAGTTAAAACAAAACCAATGAATTTTAAAAACAAGAAATTGGTACAAAAGTTCAAATTTCATACAGATTATTCAACCAATATTAAGTTTAATGTGCCTGGGCAAGTTGTAGCAAAACCTCTTAGCAGCCATCAGAAAGGTTGTAATATAATTTTGAGTAAATACTTGATTATGCTTTGGTGACATTGCGGCTTTGTCAATAGGTTCATGGTTTTTAAGCTGTTGATTTCAGGTAAAGTTAAAAAAAAAAAAAAGTAAAGATAGTCCTACTCTGTCTACTTAAGGTGCCCATGCAATTTTCAGTGGTACAGGTTGACTGTATGATGTCCCCTCCTGTTTCCTTGATTGTAGCACAGAGTTAGTTGCTCCACATTGTCTCTTCCAAACATAGTTCTAAAATGTAGATAGATGTAGATTACTTTATTCAACATGGTCCACAAGATGCAGGACATAAAAAAAAACAAGAAAAAAATAAAATAAAAAAGTTAAAATATAATGAATAAATAATTCGATCCTCGTCTTTTTTTGCATTTGCAGGTTGTGGAGAAACATTTGGCTTGTACATGTACGCAGCTGCATATCCATTTTTGAGCAGAAAATATTCTTACTTCATTTGTAGTTCATGGCCGTGTGAAACAAGCATCTCTCTGGACAGTAGCGCTGCTGTTTTAGCAGACATTTCTTTTAACCTGCGAGGGACAGTTTATAAACCTGGATATACATTTGATTAAATTGTACTTACACATAATTATTTGAACTGAAGACCTTGGCAGTTGTTTAGTAAAAGCATCAAAAGACCTCTAAATGTACAGTTCTTCTTAGATGCTCAATAACTTCTACAGATTTCCTGCTGTTCTGAGTTTTGGTTAATTTATTACATATTATGTAATACATATATATGCAAAGAGAAACCACAGGCGTTCACTAAAAATTGCTAAAATGAAATGAACAAGACTCTTCTTGTCAGCTTAAGGACCTTCAGACCCATGTATTTAAATATTTGGGAAAGTATTTTTATATCTTTAAGTATGTATGTCTTATATTTTTGAAGGTTTTATCACAATTTTAGTGTGTAAAAAGACCAGTGAAAAGCCCAGAATAAATGAGGAATCATAAGTGTTTGGGAGCTTTCTGATCAGAACTGTCCTTTAAGGCAACAAAAAAATGGTATAATTTAAACATACTGAGTTATTTTCCTAGCCTGGTTAGAATGTGATTTCCACTTAATACATTTCCGGGAACTACACACTATTATTCCCACAGAGTTGTCTGGTCTGGTAACTCTTAAACACCTCATGAAAACCAAACTGAAGTGACAATACTTTGCCACATTGTTAATTCAAACTAGACTCGACTCCTGCAGTGACTACATAATGTAATACTTACACAGTCACAAGACTACTGTTAAGTATTCATTCTCATAAATTTTCTCTCACACTCTGGAACCCCTGCTGCACTATTTTCTAGCAGTTTTATGCAAACCGTGTTAAGGCTGTGAGAGCCATTTTCACCAGCACTTATGTTTACAAGAAACTTGAACTAATAGAGTATCAAATGAAAACACTTCTGTCACATTTCAGCACTGACACACAGTTACAAATACTGTACCTGTAGTCATCAAAATCTCTTCGAAATTCAAACTACCAGCCTCCTGCATCAGCAACTTTAATGCTTTTCTGAACCAAACCTGCATTAAATGTACCCAGGCACATTATATATACAGTATATATATATATATATATATATATATATATATATATATATATATATATATATATATATATATATATATATATATATATATATATATATGTAAATTTATTGCAATTTATTGCAATTTTACATTAGAATCGTTCATAATTACTTCAGCATTTCTTATATGATTTCATGGTTCCTGCATCATTATGGCTCATCAAATAGAGCCAAATAAGCATCTAATCAGAAAGTCAGCTTCTGATTAGCTTCAATAGACTACAGCAGTATTAGCACCACTTACTTATGTTGAAGCTCACAGATAAAATGCATGTCTAAGTTGCTGCTGCAAGAAACCAAGAAATAATAAAAAGAAAAATACTTATAGAATGTTTCTGTGAAAAGTGTTTAATTGATGACATAATTTACCAACTATGTAATCATTTTTTTATATGTATTTTGTTTCCAAATCTAATAAATTAACTAACTGCTCAAGTATTTAATTAATTTGTTGAACTGTGGTCTGTTGGGACTTTCAGGAATCTTTACAAAGTTTCCTTCTTGGAAAATAGGATGATATAATGTTGAGTTGTGAGTTTTTTTTTTTTCTTTTACAAAAAGAAATATTGACATTTTCTTGTTTTGCTATCTTGTGATTTATAACTCTACACCCTCCTAAATGTAACAAGCAGCTGACCTCCTGACTCCCAAGTTGTACTCTTTTCAACAGAGACCAATGTTTTATGTGTCCACTAAGAAATAGCTTGATTGTGCAGAGCTTTGTGTCTGTGCTCATTCATCGTAGTATTGTGTTTGAGGTATCACTAAAACCACAACTGCACAAAAGCTGGTCTGAATGTCATTGGCTGTGTTGTCAGAACTAGTACTTTATCACAAAAAGAAACTGAAAAAAAGTAGTTTCACATTAGTTTTCAGCTAAAACATCAGTTTCAGCTGAAACATTAGCTAAAGTGAAACAATGACGACATCTATTTGTCATTGTTTCAGATACATTTCTGCGCCATGTCTCTCTTCCAATTGCAAGTTGAGCTGGTTTCACTGGTTAATTCTGTCTGTTTACTTCTTTTTCATATAAATCGTGTCTTCATTTGTTTTATCTGTCTGCTATTTTGTTCCTCTTTATGGTTTGATGTCAAGTTTTCTGCTCTTCTTTCATCATTCTGACTTTTTTTTTTATTTAAAATGAAAATGTTCTCATTCAATGTGTTTCTGTTTATGCCTTTGATTAGCACGTAAAGTGCACCCTACAATTTTGTTCTTGTTTATCTTGTTTTTCTGTTCTTCATTTCACTATTTTCCCTCTTCATTTTAGCTACCGTTATTTTGATGGATGTGTTATTGTAGAATGGCACTGGTAAGATGCAACATTACAGGGTACAGGGTGGAAAGTAGAATTGATTCTGTGTTTTATGTTTTTCCTTCCTGTTCATTTCCCATCTTGGAGACAGAGACTGACCTGGTATTCATCCATTGCTGCGTGTTGAAATAATGTATTATACTCTCATTTTGTGCAGATAAAAAACCTGACAGGTTCACAGCACTGTGTTCACTTTAGAGATTCGCACTAGCTCTATATTTAGCAAGTATAGAAAATGATAAACCAAATATTTCTGGGTAGGATTCTTAAAGATACTCTACATGAAATGCTTGTCCAACATTCTGTTAAGACTAAACAAATGTGTCTTTAAAAACATTGGAACACACTCACTTTTTGACGATTAGCGCATTGATCAAGCCTTTGATTAACTGGTATCCCGTTGGACTAATTATTGCTCTTTTGTCTTCTGTGCAATAGTTTCTAAAATGGCTATTCATATTTATTGTGCTCTAAAACATTTCTAAAAGAAATAAAAACAAGAGATAAAAAATTTTTAAAAAATCCCCGGATCCCCTTGTGTTCCTCATTTTCAAAACCACAAGCTGTTTCTAAGATTAATTAAAAGTCATTTTACAGTCATGTAAAATATTTTAGATATTTTACATGTACTGACTTATAATTAACAGCAACCTACACTCTGACTTTGGTTTTGATCAAAATCGTGTCTGCTTTGTTGTTTCTATCGGATATGTGGCCATAAAAACATGACGCCACATGACACAATTTTTACAGGAAGAGAAATAAACACAACAGAGATAAACTATTTTGCCAAATAGATTGAGTCACCCCTGCAAATTATTGAACTTAGATGTCCGTCCATTTTCATTTGGAAGAATTTGACTATAACGAAGTCTGACCTCAAAAGACAGAGCACTTTAGAGAGCAGTGAGAGACAATGTCCTCGCCTTTCTTGTCCAACATCAGAGTCTGACCTCACCAATGTGGCACTACATGCAACATTGATTTTAGATATATTCTTACAAGTGTGTCTTGTAAAATCAACATGTTTTCATCACAGCTTTCTACAACTGATGGGAGTAGAGTCTTGAAACTTAGAGTCTTAGAGACATTCTTTGACTTTCCTAGTGGAAAGTCCTACTTCGGGGGCTTAGGAGGTTTTCTAGCTGGTTTTTCCCACCCGGAAGACAAAATGAACCTAACTCCACAGATCCTGTCTCAAAAAAAAGAAAAAATTTTTTGGATTTTGCTTCGATTATGGTGCTATTGCTAGAGAAAATCCACAAACGCAAACATGTGCAATATGTCTCTATTACCGAGAAAGAAGAGATATTACTTCAGCTCATATGTGCTGTTTTTGTCCAGGGGTTTAATGCAATAACTAATTCATAACATCTCTAAATAAAACATGCATATGAAGAAAGGTGAATGAGATATATGTTTGTCAAGGTAAGATGGAGACTATTTTATGAGAAAAGGTGATAGCAAAAGGCAGTAAATATTTGAAAGTGGCATATACTGCTTGGAAACTTCATTGCATTAACTCTTTATTTTTAGGATTGCACACTCAACATTGCAGTTCTGTCAGTATATCTTAAAAATATATATATAATAGAGGTTTGAAAATGTACAAAATGAATAGATATTGAAAATACGCAACCATTCCACCACCCAACTCATATAGTCAGTTAATTTGTCAACATCCCTAGTTACATAAACTGTTACAGTGATGCTGTTAATCTGATAAGGGTAAAATAAATACCGTCATACTTAGAAGTTCTGCCTAAGCAGTTGTCAATGGCATCCCAGAGTCTTTGTCTGTCTCCAGAAAAACATATTCCATGTCCATATACGAGTGACATAAATTCTCCATTTTCTGTCCTTTCTGATGCCTTTTTTGTTCTTTCTTCCTTTGTCTGTCACTCACCACGCCTTCAAACAAAGCCACCACTAGTGAGGAGAAGATATTCTGGTCCTATTGGGCCCAAAGCATGTGTTTTTCTGTGCAATCTCAGGCCAGTCATCTTGATGAAGTACCTCCCCCACCAGGTCATTAAGGCAGCCCTGGGAAAATTATGTTTAATGTTCGAGCTGCTGAATTCATAAATCTTTTTTTTTTTTTTTTGCTTTGCACCTGACCCATTTGTAATAGTGCTAAATGCAAAAGTCTGCCAGATTTTATGAGGGCAGTAAGACCCTGTACTTGTATGAACTGAGATAATTTGGTTGATACCTGTTAATTCATTAAAATTGTCCAGCCTCTTCTTGGTCTTAATGTTTGCATTTGTGTCCTCACGTGGAGCTGACAAACACACCATCTTTGCTTTCCCTGTGTTGTTCCTTCTTTTGTCCTAATTTGTATATTTTGTTCATACCATTGTGCAGCTTCTCATTTGCTTCATGTGTTCTGATTTAGTTCTGTCTTTTATGCTTCTGTTTTTGTAATGTTGGCCAGCCATCAGGATTATGCACCTGAAATCAAGTAAGGCGAAGCTGGAAGGACCCACCTTCCGATAATGCCATTTCTCATTTCCACCTCCGTATGAAACAAAATCAGCACCAAAATTCCATTTGGCTACCTCTCTGAATCATTAACGTGATTAATTGCGGGGCACTCACTCATGCTGAAGGCCGTATTAGTGAGCCCACAGTACTCCAGCCTTAGATACACTATGCCTGCAGATGTGACAAGCAAGATAATGTTTAACCGGTACCTGTATCTTCCCGGTGTGCTGTATGGATGTGTTAGTGCTGTAATGAAGATATGGCACTCACATTTGTCAAGTGGAAACTATTTTCTATAACCACATAAAGGCTCTATTCAATATGTGTATTAAAGTGATGGGTCACAGTCCAAGCTAGAGACACTTTTCTCCTGAAAGAAAACCTTTACAACTGCTGTGTGAAAATTGAAAATGATTACCTAGGAACATGTTTTTAATGCATGAATAAATTATCTACGATACGTGGGAAGACAATTTGTACAAAGGACATCTCAAGAGAATTTGATTCCAAGTATTCAGTTTCATTTTGTTATTAATTCATATGACATCAATTCACAACAAATCCCATCTCTAATTCAAAATAATCCAAGTCATTCTAATTCAGAATTACATATATTAAGAGCAAGAATCTGATGACAGGACAGCATACAGGAAGTACATGACTTCTATTTAACAAGACACAATTTTGACTGTCCTGGAGTTAAGAAGACACAAAAGAGATATTTATTAAAAGGTTTGTGATTTTAAAAACGCTATCAGCTTATGTCTTACAGGCTGAAGAATATCATCGACATAACAGCAGCAGTACTGCTGCCCACACATTATAATAATGATCAACCAAAAACATTGTCACATTAAAAAAAGCATCATAAGCAACATTTAATCAATCACTTATGCGTTCTTATAAACTTCTACTTTCCTACGTTCTTGTAAAAGCTAGCTGTACTACAGTGCTAACTCCAGTAAGGAAGTAAAGAAATGAACTTAGCCATGTTAATTTCTTTGTCTTCCCTTCCTACTATCACAAAGTTTTTAGTTTTTTTGCATGACAAAGGGCTTATATTTTTCCAGCTTACATAAAATTATTCTTCAGTTTAACTGTGACATACGTACACCACCACAATTAGCTGCTCACACTCATCCACCTGACAGCACAAACATTCATCAACCTGTGTATTTTCAATAAAAATTAATATAACATTTCCCAATATTCAAGGAGGGTTATTTGACTACGATTCTTCTTTACTTTATGTCATGCAGCACATCTAGAGATTACATATATATGAATATCTTTGCCAATTTTTATTGCATCAATGTAGAATCTAAAGTCTTCTACAGTGCAAAACCATTTCAAATAATTGTGGACTGTGTAGTGTTATTTTCACTGAGTCATTTAATCATGATGAATGAAGATTAATTTGACCTGCTGAAAAAGAAAAAAAAAAGTACACTGTTCTGTATGGCAGACTGAGACATGAGTCAGTTATTATTCTCAACTCGGCATCACTGCTGCGGCACACAGTGTGTCACCAAAATGCAGAAAGATTGGAGAGTTGAGGGGATGAAAGGCAACTTTCTCAAAACGGTACCCTGGCACAGAGAGAGATCTCCTTATTATCGAGGGACGGCATGTTCTCGAGAACATTTACCTTGGATAAACCCTTGTCTTCAGGAGCAATTGGTGAAACACTAATACCAGCCCTAAAATAGTAAGAGTTCAACATGCAACCTACCCTGTTCCCATCAACTGAAGATACTGTATTGCTTACTCTCTCACACATATAATCTATAGTTGTGCGGGTATGTTTTTTATGAGATCAGGAACATGGTTCTTTCACATCAGTTCCTTCTCTAATTAATTTATTTCGTGATTCTACGTTTACTGTCAGATATCAACATTATTTTGGTACCTCTTAAAATTCCATCCCACTAATTTCAGAAAAAGGTTCCTGAGAAGTGTCAAAGGCAGTTGGATAAAATTATTGGATGTAAAAGGAGTTTTTAATTTGACTGTGTGGTTCAATTTCAGATCATGGGTGATCGGGGCCATCGCCTTACTGTGCCTTCTTGGGTTGACCTGGGCCTTCGGTCTGATGTACGTCAATGAGAGCACTGTAATCATGGCGTACCTCTTCACCATCTTCAACTCCCTGCAAGGGATGTTCATCTTCATCTTCCACTGTGTGCTGCAGAAGAAGGTACTGAATTGTTCTTTTAAATTGTAATGAATCCTTTAGAATTATCTGGAGCAGAGGTCGCGCTAGACGTTTTTGTTATCCGTCATCTTGATGGACTGCATAAAAAAAAAAACGTTCATGTTCTATTTTTACCCCTCAAATTTTAATTACATTAACATGTGCTATTTAGCCGCATTTTTATGTAGTTTAGTTCATATTTTCCCAGTTAAACTGTGAATCCAGGTCCCATCACACATAAGGCAGAAGAATGCATCTAACTTTTTCTCCGTAGTGACAAAAACCGCTGATAACTTATAATAATTGTGGATGTTACCGTCTGATTAACTTCTGCACTTTTATTTATTTCCTTAAGATAAACTGCTGCCTCCTCTGTTTGGACTATAAATAGATTAGCTTCCAGTGCATTCTCTTTAGTTTTGTCGTGTCTGTAATGGAGACTAAAATTAAGCGCTTCGTTTCTACCAAAGGTTTGGAATGCTCTTCTGAACCAGACGCGCTCCAAAGCGTCCGGTCCATAACTCTTCATCTCGCTGTCAGCTCCTGGTCAGAAAGACGCGTCTAGATCAGTGTCCATGAGATGATATTCAGAAAGGATTTTTATATTAATTGATTTTAGTTGCTTCTACAATGAACTCTTTGTGTAAAGTCAATAATGCCTATCCATGTGCACCAGTCAAGAGTGTGAATTATAAACTTTCAAATGACGGACGGGCTTCAAATTTTCCCGTCATTTTAAAATACTTCCAGACAATATTTGTTAATGCGACATCTGATCTGTTACTATATCCTCAGTGACTGACATAGCAATTTTCAGCAACAGTATGAGATGTTTTCCTGACGTTTTGTAGCCTTTGCTCCAACCCTGTGAAATGTCAAAGAAAAAAAAACAACTTGTGTCTTACTGGCAAAAAAAGGGTTGCATAAAGTATTACCAGGAAGAGATCATTAAATTAATATAAAGCTTAATGGGCTTTTTGTTGTTGTTGTTGTTGTTTTTTTATGTAAACATGCTTTGCCTGTTTTTGATTATTTTCTGCAGGTGCGTAAAGAGTACGGGAAGTGCCTGCGTACACATTGCTGCAGCGGCAAAAGTGTGGACAGCTCCATTGGCTCTGTGAAGGGCACCGCCTCTCGTGCTCCAGGACGGTATTCTTCTGGGTCACAGGTTAAAACATTGCTATTCTGTTTTCTTTCTGTAGGTCTTTAACTATTTTATTAAAGGTTATTCCTCTCAGCAGTTCTGTTGAACTCTACTTGTCACCAATGTATTTATTAGCACTTTAATCACGTAATGACATTAGAGCCCAGGAGTCAATCATGGATATTGCAGGAAAAAAACCCACCTGATTTCAGATGCTCAGAGGAATCATTTGTACAGTGGCAGTTTACTGTAAATATACAAGAAAGATTTCAAAGAAACTGTTTGCTCGTGTCTCAAAGTGATGGCAGGAAAGCGGTATGTAAGCCAAATCCCCGTAAGTGAAACCAGCCAGCCTGATGTTTTATTTATTTTTTTTTATCAGAATAACATGTCTAGAATCCACATTGACATGACATGAAGACTATAACAAAATTTTTGCCTCAAGCGCAGTAAAGAAATTGTCAAATCTCAGAAGAATTTTGCCAAGACATGTTTTTGCTGTGTCTCTGTGTAAAGTAAATTCCTAATGGATTCCTCCCACATTAGCATCCACTATTGCATGAATTGCCAGGAAAAAAACGATAACCGAACATCTTCCCAAAGAGTAATTTCCTCTCAGCGCTGCATCATAAATAGTCCTTAGAGTTAAGCATGCAGTGGCATCCCACGATACAAGCAGGATTCTGCATATAGATCAAAGCATTTCATTATGCATACTGCTTCAAAAAGAAGGCTGCAACCTCATCCTCGACTACCGCATACATGGAAGTACTCTGAAAACTCTTTTAAATGAATTGTGTAATCAGCAAAGTACAGCTTGACCCACGGGATATGAGGTCTTCAAGTTTTTGTCCTTGTAAAATCATTTTCAGGGAATCTGTGTGCCAATAAATAGGTGTACAACATGATAATCAGTTCCACTGTGGTGGTGCATGTTCCTGTTAAATTATACGCGCTATCTCGCGTTGACAGGAATTGTACAGTTTTTTGAAAAAAAAAAAACACATTCTGGCTAATGTGAAAGAGAAATAAAAACAGGAACAGTTGCTTCAGTGCGATTTGATATGCATGGAGGTGGCAATGACATAATTAAGCTGACACATAGCTGTGAAGTGTTAAGGGAGCCAAAGGGTATACGGAGTTAAGGCGGATAGTTTTGTTCCTTCACGGTGAAAATATGTGGAGTGATACTGAGCAGTATCTCACCAAATGTGAAAACAAACTAACTGCAAGAACAAATTACCCCCATAGTGCTAAACCTGAGCTCAAACTTTCTCAGCTGATGAAGCCAATATTTTACTATTACCAAACTGTTTGCTTTTAAGAATTTTTTATTTTTGTTCTTTTTTATTATTTTGATCTTCAAATATATTAAAATGTGTTTTTTCTGACCATAAAGCTTTTCTGGTGGCAAAATTCTATCTAATTTCTTTGGTGCAAATTGGAATCACAAAAATAAAATTAGCTTAATGGAAACACACCAATTTTTTTATTTTTTTATCAAAAGTTTCTGTGCTCGGATGCGGGGATTGTTCAGCCGTGTTGAAATATGTGTGTTTTGCAAAACTGCAATGGAAATACTTTTTGCGCACTGCACATTTCAGAGCAGTTTATATAGAGCAGCAACAATTCACAGCCGTCTTGCCAGAAACGTCAAAAGTTGAGCTTGTCACTTGGAAGAAATTAATACATAAGTCTTCTGTAAAATCGCTGACTTTCCCAAAACCACTGCATACGCAGCCTCTTCCAAATATACAGTTTTTGTATCATGTCATTGTGATCTGTGATAGCTGATAGACGAGGAGCTCTTCTGCTGTGGTTGAAATATAAATATATCTCATGTAAGTATTTACATCTGTCGCTACCATAATTTTTAATGACTCTTTGAATGAACAGACCTATTCGCATGTGATTTTAATTACATTTTTTTAATTATTGGAAACACCAGAGTTGTGAAAATGTGTGTTTTTTGACATTAGCAGAATATAGAAAAGGCTTTGTATGTAGATTTAGGTGGAAGAGTGAAAAGGTAGTTCCTCTGAATTGTTCAAGATACGGTGAAACCTTCTGTTAGCAGATATTTGAAACTTATTTAAATTGACTTCATAATAAGAACTTCTTTTCCCCAACCATCCAAATAAAAATCATCTTATATTTACGATACATAAATATTTTTATTCAACCATAAAAAGTTGTTGTTTTTTTTTGCTCATGTTGCTGGTCTTTGGCAGACTCGCATCACACTTTGCGACTGAACACATGAACAGTTTTGTAAAGTTTTGTACAAACCAATTATTTTAAAGTTTAATTTTAGTCCAAAACCTAGTTCTGGGTTTCAATCTTTGTACTCTTTTCAGTAACATATTAGCTTCAGAGTTCTGAAAATACTTACACTAGACGTATGATTGTTTAGAAAGGGTGCAATCAAACTCTAAGTTCTGTCATGATTGCCATATAAAACCCTCTCAATTTGGTAGTAAAACCTACAACCAGGTGCATCAATAATGCATGGAAAAACTGCATTCGCACAAGTAAAGCCAGTCCAGTTAAGTCATCAAAATGAGGAAGCTTTATTTAATTAAAAGATTGCAGTTGACCTCTATTGATTAGGAAGATTTATGGAGCTAAGAGCATTTAACTATTATATAGAACGAGATCCCTTGAGGGAGCTATAAGTTGACGCTTGAAGCTGGTGTTGCTCTGGGGTGGAATGAAATGGCAACGACAAACAGATAAAACAGGAAAGGTGGTTGTGTTTAAATGGGGACTGATGATCTGCACATGTGTCAGTGGATAATCATAAGAGGCTTTACTTCTCAGAAAGATTTTATGAATTAATTTGAAGTGAATTTAGACAAATGTTTTTTGTTTGTTTTTGTTTTATTTCCTTTTTTAACCAGCTAAACCCCATTGAGATCTCGATTTCGGCATTTGACATACATGCACACTACATGTTTTCTTTCAGTAAAAGTGTGGAAAGCATTGTTTGATTTTCCTTCCAATTCACCAACTTTGTGTTGGTCTCTCACATAAACTCCCAATATCACAACATGTGGAGAAATCTAACAGGTATGAATACATTTAGCCACTGCACTTGTAAGATATACAATTACAGAAACTTGGTCAAAACTTAAGAAACTTAGCGTTTCAAATTCCATCTCACTGCCTCTGGTCTTCTCTGAGCACTGACTAATTTTGTACCTCTGACAGCTCATAGGGCAAATATTCTGATGTGTTCTGGCATGTTGTTTGTCTCTGCAGAGCCGCATCCGTCGAATGTGGAACGACACAGTCAGAAAGCAGTCTGAGTCCTCTTTTATGACCGGAGACATCAACAGCTCGGCGTCGCTCAACAGAGGTATTTGGTCCTGCAGGAATTACTGTCATTAATGATTCCTTCAGCCTTTAGTTTCTGCTAAAAATATTCAACCTGAGATTTCTTTTTGACAATACAAATGCTTTCCTCTTAACATGATGCAAGGTTTTCACAGGGTTCAAAGCATTTTACAATTCTGTATCTGAGGCAAAAAGCATCAATTAACATCATGGCAATGCTGTCATTTCTCAGTAGTTTGTCTTAATTACATCAGAAAATGCCCATGTTTTTCAAAATACATGTTTTATTCAACTTCTTAACACAATTGCAGCATTATGTTTTTGAAGTTAGACATCCAGATGCATAAGAAGTGAAGTCAACTTATATCCAATGAAATTTCAGTCAATCAGTCAAAAAACTATTTGTGGAGCAAAGTCCTTAGTAGAGGGTGGAAAGAAAACAATTCAAATTTCCACTAGATAATAGTTTATTACGATAATCTAATATGACAGAAACATAGACATAAAAATAAATAAATATAATTAAATATAAATTTAAAAAAATTTAAAACATAGCATATCCATTTCAAAAACCAAACCAGAAGTTCTAGCTAATTTAATATTTTAAGAGAAAAAAAAAAAAAGAAGCACATTATAACATAATGCACAGCCTAAGAAAGAAATACATAAAAAAATACATTCTCTGTGTGGTCACAAGGTTGCATTAATTGTTTTATCTTATTGATAAAAGATGTATTGGACTGCAGTGGCTCTCCGGTGGGGTTAGTGTCTGAACTCTGTGGTGGCCAATCCATGTGTTGAAAACGATGTCTCATGCTCCCTGAACCGTTCTTTCACAATGTGATCTGATGAGTCGTGGCATTGTCATCTTTGATTATAGCCGTGCCATCAGCAAAAAAATATAAATAGATGAAAAATAAGACTTATTCATTCTTCATATTTCAATAGTTGTGTAGTTGTTTTTTTGGGGGGGAGGGAAGCATATCTGTTGCTGAACGTCAAGCAGATGAGCCGATGTGACCCCAGACCGTAACCCTGATCCTACTTGCTTGTACTGGCAGATGACAGTATGGGTGCATCAGTGCATCCGCGTCTCTCTGTATCCTGGTGTGCTGGTCACACAGGAACACGGTAACCCTCGATGCGTTAGACCGTATGTTTCTTCTTTGTTTTTTACATTGTTTGAGCTACAGAAGTTCAGTCTTTATGTATCTGAATAAACTAATTTATTTCAATCTAGTCTACTCAATAAGTAATTTTTCTAGGACTACACAACTATTTGTGCCCAAAACTTTATACTATATATAAATTTTGTACTTGCATGCATTTGATTTCAAACCATTAATAGATATAAACATACCAGATTTATCCTGACACACATTTCTTCTTTTTAGATCGGGGGCTACAGAGCCGTAAGTGGCTCTATATATTTTCCACAATGGCTCTTTGTAACTTAGGCTAAGATAGTAAAAACTATCTAATTTTCAATGTGCTGCACCGCTTTTTTGTCTGCCTCCACTGTAAAAGCAGTCCATAAACCAAACTGTGCCGTACCATTCTTGAGCCCCTTCCAGTTCAAGGTCCATGGGGCAATGGTTCAGGGCATTCAGGGTGGAGCGACTGGCATCACACAACACACTCCATTGATTACTGCACAGAAAATTGTTACGTCTTGTAAAAAGCAGCAAACATACAAGTCTGTCATTTTTGTTGCCGTGTTAGCATGATGCCACATTAGGCGTAGGGATTTAACCCTGCCTGCTCATTGAGAGTTTAACTAGTTGTAAAAATGCTCTCCTGAATGCGCCAGATCAAAAAACAGCTTAACCGAACCACACCGACCCATGCTATCCCATTCTGTGTAAACGAGGCATTAGGAAAAATTATCTCAGAAAAAGAGTTGCATAACAAGCTAAAAATTGATTTCACCACTTTTATCATCAGCTTAAAAAAAAAGCCGATAAGTATTTCAGAGCAATGCCTTTGACAGTGACAGTCACCGAGTTCACTTCAGGGCTTCTCAGCTCAGAAAGGAAAAAAAGACACCAGACTACATCTGACATCAAGCTGCAAACGCCGCTCTCGCTGGCATGCCTCCCTAACACTCTCGGCAGTCATCACATCTCTTGATTGAAGAGCTCCGGTTCCACACTGCTCTCTCTCTCTAAATTCACTCTGGGCGCCCGCTCGCAAAGACGCTAATGCATAGTTACAATGATGGATTAATGTTCGACACAGTGAGGAAGTGTCATGATCTCTGTAATTAGGCGCTCAGCTCAGCATCGCCAACAGACGTGACTGTTATCAATTGTGCAGAGGCTGAGGAGAGAAGGTGGACGTGAGGGTTGAAGGTCAGGAGTTGGGGGGGAATGAAGAAAAAGAAAAAAAAAAAAGGTGTACACGGATCTTCCATAAAGACAAAAAGCGGAGGCACAAATTATTTATGGCTGCTTACCAGGTTTTGAGTGATGGAGAAAACCCTCAAAGTAGCTGTAGAGCATGTCGGATAGTGCGCTCTGCCATCACAAGCACCATCAGGAGCAGATGCAAATAGAACTGCACTCATGCGTGGCTTTTCCTGTGTGCTTATTAAGGAATTATGTGTTGAGGAGCAAATATTTCTTGCTGATTTGGCCTCTGCAGTCTTGACGCTCTGGCAAATTTTGCCCTCTTCCCCCGCCTCCCACCTCAGCTCAAAGCACCAGAGAATGAGCTCACAGCTGACGCTCCTTGCTGTGCTCTCCTTGAAAGCAGAGTCATGCAATCATCTCGGTGCCATTGCATGTCCAATTTGTCTCAGTATTCAGTATTATAACTGCACAATTAGTGCAATTTCTTTTGGTAATCTGTTTAATTTCGACGCAGACACAATAAGCTTGGGATTGGTCATTGTGGGGATTGAAAAAGGGAGGCTGGTTGTTTGTGAAGAGCACTGTAATTAGGGCAAGCGTCACTTGCAGCAACAAATTACAGTTCCTTTGTATCCCACGCCCAATCAAAACAACATTCAGTTTTCTGTGCGAAAATAGTAACATGTCTACTAATCACTAATTTCAAGCAAATAGAAATCTTACTTCTACTACAAGACAAAATTAACCAAGACGTTATGATTGGATAGGAATTTCTTTTACTTTGTTTGAGGATTGCCAAAGGAAAGAGGAACTTACATCATAACATAAACAATCACAGTGCTTTGCAATAGTTTTCACACCCCATGAACATTTCCACATTTCACTGGGACTTTACATGACAGACCAAAGCAAAGTAACAATTAGTGAAGGAAAAAGGAAAGAGGAAAGAAAAAGATACATGGTTACTATTTCTTTTTCTGCAAATAAAAATCTAGAAAATATATTGTTTACATTTGTTTTCAGACCCTTTACTCTGAAAATCGATTCAGAAATCACCATGTTAGTGAACAAGGTTCACTCATTCCAAGGGTCAAATCAGAAGCTCTTTCTCAGCAAGTTAGTTCCCATTATGACAAATTTAGCTAATTTGCAATGTGACTTCACAAGGATAAACCCAAATCCAGTTTAATATGACAAGTATTTAATTTAAAGTCCAAAGCCTCTTACAGAAGGTTAACTCCATTGTCATCTGTCAATGGAGTTCAACAGATGTGAAACTCAAGCAAGACTTTGCTGTACACCTAATCTGCCAGGTTGTGAATTGACAGCCAAGAAAAGATTCATGGTAACAGTGGAGGAACTGCAGAGACCCACAGCTCAGGTGGAAAAATGTACTCACAATCCAGTTATTAGTTGTGCACTCCACAAATCTGAAAGATTATCAGGAAGATAGCTACTGTTAAAGAATGGCATCTGGATGTTTTTCTTGATCCACTCAGGTGAAACTACTTGTTGAAGAAGATTTTCCATTCCGATTAGACCTTAACTGCACTGTTTGTCCTGCAAAACACACATGAGGCAGGAAATTACACCCTAAACACACCAGCGCCATAATGAAACGTGGTGGCAGCAGCATCATCCCAGGAAGATGGATGGGGCTAAATACAGGGTAATCCTGGAAGAAAACTTGATAAGGGATACAAGATCTGTCGTCTCAGAAGGGCCTAGTCAAAGTTCAGATCTAAATCCAATTGAGAATCTTAAGACGAGACAGATAAAAGTTGTTCATAAAAAATCTGAATGTGTCAAACAGGTAGAAACATACATCAAATGTCCTGTTGCTATAATTGCAGGTAAAACAGCATTGAGCTGAAGATTATTCATTATCTTCAGCTCAATAATGAATAATCTAAACCATTTTCCTTCTTCAGTACTTTGTCCTGCACTTTTTCACAGAATTCTGACACAATATAAAGAAGTTTAGGGTAGAATGTGAAAAAGTCAATGGGGTTTGAATACTGAGGCAAAGTTCTGTATGCGATTGTGTAATGTAAAAAGTAAAATAAAACCTTTATCACATGGCGTGACAGATTGAGAGCACAGAAGACAACAGTACTCTGCTGGGGGATCTAATTGCTGTGTACTTGCACCTTGGATAAAGGATGTTTACCCGCTCTTGCAGAAGCACACGCATGCATCACCTTCACAAGTCCCGCATTTGGCTTCTTTCACAATAATGGTGCCGTATCGTGTTGACAGGAACAGGAAGGAAAACTTGTAAACAGGAAATGATTCCAACCTGCAAATATTTTTACATCACCATATGTTTTGCTTGTCTTTGAGAGCTTGAAAGTCAATTATTATTTGTTTTATCATCCGCAAAGAAAAGAAAACAAATGTGGTTCATTTGTATTTAAGTTGAGAGGCTTCAGATCCCGCAGCTAATCAGCCGGACTCAGACAGCGAAGGCTGCTCTGGTGTGGCGGTGTGTGCACGGGAAACCGATGAGTCACTTGGGCGGCGGGACTCTGAAGACGAGCAACGTTGCTCAACTGCCAAATGAGTCGGGCGATCTGCTTGTGCGAAAAGAGGCCAGGCTGGAGCGAAGTAATGACCAGCTTGACTGAAGAGAAGACATTCAAATGGTATTTCAGCTGCAGTTACAAAGAGAATGAGCAAAAGCTGATCTTTGCTCTGCAGAGAGAGGGGAAAAAAAGGGACACGACACTTAAGCTTGGAAGAATGGCACAGACAGAAGAAGTAATAACAGCGGTGCATCTGATACCTCACTTGTTGAAGTTTCTTGGTAGTGGACAAGCTTTTTGGTTTTACCACATATAAGGGTGAATCTGAGTAAATATCTAAACCAAAAAAAAAAAAAAAACAGCCATTCCTAATTCTACCATGTCTGCTGTTCTTTACTGTTGCAGTGCCCTTTATTGTTATTGGCAACCTTGGCAAAATTGTGTGCAAAACCTTGAAGCATATAGCAGATATGGAGAAACCAAAATGCCACTGCTTTCATGCAGTTCTTTAGCAGCAGGCTTTGGAGATTTGTTTTTTTGACCTACCTTTACCATCCTCCTCTTTGTGTGCGGTGCTGAGATAAACTCGGGTCCCTCATCCTGTCGTTTTTATCACACCTGCAGTGACTGTATTTGTTTCGCTGCCTGATGATATACTTTAAGGCAAGTGGCGGCTTTCTTGAGCAGCCACATTCATTTCTTGAATTAAAATGAATGCAACAGCTACTTTTACTTTGTAGGACTGTTGAGAATAGGAGTAAGTGCTATCACAGTGATTTTATTAAAAACACTTCTCCTTTACCACTTCATTTTTTTAAACTAAATTAAAAAAATCCTCATATTGAAGGCTGTACTTTCCTAGATTTATGAGTGTGAGAGTAAGACAATCCATTAAAGGAAACTTTTGTTTTACACAATTTCACATTGGTTCAAAGTCTGAGGCACTGCTTGAGAGCCATAGCTGAGTGTCTCTTATGTAACCCCCTGAGAACAGCAGCTAAATATTAAAATGGTGAGTTTATGTTTCTGATGGTCAGCATTACTGCTTTAAAATGCCTTTGCCTTTAATGCCATGTTCAGTTACTGGACATTTAAAATAACTCAGTGATGTTGTTTGCTAAATGTGTCATCAAAAACATAGACAGAAAAGGCAGAAATAAGTAAAACCGCAATATTTCAGTCACTGGAATGACAGAGTTAAATATAGCTGTACGTCTGACATTATAACTACGTCTGGACATTTTTGTCTTCAAAACAAGAAGAAGAAAGCTGTTACTGTCGGTGGCTAATACCAAGCAAGTCAGCTTTATCGCAAAATAGATGCACTCTTCCGTGATCTGATTTGTCTGTTTGACTACTGAATTATTTCAAATTTCATCGGTATATAAATGATAACATTTTGGCATTTCTGGTGGATGTAGTCTGACTTACACTATTGGCTGCACTCTAATATTTATTTTTAGCATATCTTCAATACATTTTATCAACATTCTTACTAATAAGTACAATACATTTGAAAAAAATAAATTATTGCGATCATACATTTTTATATCCTTACATAAATTTGCTTTTTAGCACGCACTACCATCCGTTTTCAGTTTTCTATATGGGTACTTTTTGTGGTATAGTTCATGGTTGTCAACATGTGTATGATGCCAAAATGTGAAGCACAAAAAAAAAAAAAAAACACACACACAACAGGGTAATGGCTGGCATTAACAGTACAATGAACACACTTTTCATCGGCCCCATTAGCCACGTCGATTCAGCTCCGCTGCTCTCATACAGCAAACTTCGCCGCCACCACATTCCTAAAATTAATGATCATGTGATCATTTGGATGTTAATGGATGTCATTGCTCAGTTGCATCTGCTCAGCTAAAATGTATGTTCTCATTATTATATATGTATTTATATCTCAACTTGTCTATCTCTCTCTGTTTTCTCTCTATCTCGCTCTGTCTCTTTCTGGCTGCTCCAGGGGCTATGGCTAACCATCTTATACCTAATGCACTCCTACGTCCTCATGGCACTAACAATCCCTATAATACATTGCTTGGGGAGTCTGCCGTTTATAACAACCCTCTGGGCATGTACAACATTCAAGGTGTGCTAGCTTCTTTTCATTACTTACCATTGTGGCTAGAGCAGTGTTTTTTCTCATTATTATTTGCTGTTTTTGTGGCACATTGTTATTCCTGCCTTAGAAATAAGAAAGGGTGATGACAAATGAGAAAACATATAAATTGGATGGATCGTAATTAAAAGAAAAAAGACTGCTCTAAATGTATTGTTTTAGCTTTCAAAGAGCTTAATCACAAAAATCCTACAGACTTGGTTTGCTGTGGGGTTTTTTTTTATTGGCGGTGTATCGTGGCATCTGGTTGGCTCATCTCATTCGATTCATGACCAAGGCGCTTCCCTGGACTGTTTTGGCCAAATCAAACTGTAACTCTGAGAAAATCCTTTGAAATGACCCCACAGAAAGCCTGATACATCACCAGTCATTAATTTCAAATGTGCTCCAATGTTGTCAGTTAACCTCTTGTGCAATGTCTGCTGTCTCTGTGCATTTAGTTTTAAAGTTTTGTTCTTCTCACACAAAATGTTTTCCTTTCGATCTTCTTTAAAGAGAGCAAAGAGAAGCAAAAAACATGTTTTCGAGCAGAGATTTACATGCACTCATTATGGGCGTGAAAGTTATGATTTTCAAACACCCAGTGTTTTATTTGAACCATTTGTTTCCCAGGGTGGACTGATTATAAAACATACAACATTAATTATTTAAAAGATCCTAACTTAATTGCACAAGTTTGAATTTACTGTGGATTTTCTCTACTCCATCCAGAGGAAAAAATGCACAAAACTCAAATTGGGTCTTTCTGGATCTTTCAGCAGTGTAAGAACCTAAGGAGGGAGATAAATCTTAAGAGTGATGGCAAAGAAGTTTCCAGCCTCAAAGACAGAATGTCAAAAATGTGAAAAAACTGGCCAGGAAATAAAAAAAGCTTTTGTTTACTCTAAAGCTAATAACAGTTTTTGCTATCATTATACAGAGGGGAATAAATAGTTATATATTTAAATTTTTTAACTGATACACCTTTCAAATTGATATCTATTGAGAGATGGTTTCATATATACAGACTTCTTTGTAGGATGAAAACACGTTTAGATGTGTTTATTCAGTCAAATTTGAATCTATTTTTATTAGCAGTATAAGTGATTTTGTTTTGTATATAATAATTGTATTATTTTGAATAAAAGAGAATATTTAACTTGCTTCTGATGTAGCTGTTTGGTTTGGGTTAAAAACAGTTTAAAAAGGAAACCCCAAAAATTATACAGCTTCATTAAGCATCTTTGCCAATGATAAATGTATGTAATTTTCTGACTGAATTTTCCAGTAAATACTTGTGAATATTTAGTTAAATATGCAAAATACGGTTGAAAGCAGAAGTTTACATACAGTGAGGAAAAAAGACACAAACCCCCTTTTTCATTTTCTGAAGATAAATCAGACCAAACATCTCCTTGAATTATTTCTACTTGCTAAATGATACAATAAAAAGAGAAAAAAATATGTCAAAGATTTATTTATTAATGGCAATCATATCAGAAATTTACATAAATTTCCTCTCTGGGTTTCTTTCCACCTGGTTGTCACAGTAGTTTACTTGTGTTCTGGCCCAGTCCTTCTGTCAGAACTGGCATAACTGACTTAACATTAGCTTCCTGGTTTTTATCTGTAGATGCTGCTCCAAGTTTTTTATATGAAGCTCTTTTCTTGTGATGCTATGCAAATTTGAAGGTCTTTATTTCTTCGCTAATTTCCAAACTTCAATCTGACTTTTTGGGCTTTTCCATCTTGGTTTAGGAGTAATGGCGTCCTCCCCTGTTCCTCCAACTGACTCAAATGAGACAGTAATCATCTTGTATGACAAATTCTGATTTTTAAGACACTAGTAAATAAATCTCTGACAGATTATCACACTGGTGTTCTAACTGAGCTAAAACAAGAGACATTTGGTCTGTTTTCACTTCTGGTGATGAGAAAAAAGTGGAGGATGTGTCTTTGCATTCACTGTGTGTAAACTTCTGGTTTCAACTGTACTGGTTTCAAAGTGTGAATACATATAGAGTTTTTAAAGACAACCAACTATTATGCCGTGAAAGATAATAGAACACAACGGCGTCTTCAAAAAGAAGTTATTTTTTTCATCATTTGTCTGCCTCCAACTAAATATTGTAGTGCAATTTTTTCCCCCTCCGTCTCTCTGCTGAGCTGTGATTATTTTATTTCTGCTCTCTGCAGTCAGTGTGAGATTGCTGCAACTTTGTGAGTCTGCAAAAGTCCTTAAAAGTAGAGAGAAACCCATGTAAGGATCAGATAAAAACTCAGAGAGCTTTGATAAGTGGATAATTTATGTATGCGATACAAGTACTTTGCACTGGAGCTGGTGATGGAGGGCTATAATTCACTTACACTGCCACAGATGGAAAAGAAATATCTGGAGGAATGAAAATGCTAATGCATCAAAAGATTTATTGGCACATTTGACACCCAAGGACCTTTGCCCATGTTTTACCCCCAAGGATTCTGCGACGTGTTACAGCAAAACATCCTTTATATATTTGTCAGGAGATTTTTTATGTCATCTTTATGGTGCTTTTTCTGCAAGCACACAAAATTTGCATGGTGGAACTTAAGAATTGCGGTAATCTTCTGAAGCACCATTATGCATTTTTCTCTTTTTACTTGTCATTATTGTTCTTATTGTGTTTTCTTCTTTCCTTTTCCTCATGCTGTCCCCAAAAGAGCCCTACAGAGAGACAAGTATGGGAGTCAAACTAAACATTGCTTATCAAATGTAATTGACTTTGGCTTTACTTTTTTTTTCACTCGATGCTGACAAAAGGAATAGTTAAAATGGTGTAAGTCAGTTTGAAAAGAACGAGATCCAATTAGGAAAGCAATACATTAAACATTTCCATTACAACCCGGATTTGTATGCCTTTTAATGCGCTTAAAAACAAAAGCACACCAAATGCACTATACATTCAGAATAATTCAAATATCTTTAAGGCACACCAGCACAAATTTATCTGTAGCCTTTTCTGAGCAACATGCATGTGTTCATGTACCCAATAGTAGTGTTTTTTTGTTTTTTTTAATTACTCTCCAATTCACTTTGATCAAGCCGTTACACTTCAAGAAGACTTGAGATATGTTTCCTGTCAAATTTTTAAGAGGTCAGACTGAGAGCTTGACACTTCTAACAAGCTGGATGGCCTTGTCGGAGGTAGTCTGAATTATCGTCAAATGTCTTTTTCTCGCTTTGATGTCAACAGCGTGGTTAACGTGATGAAATATGAAAGATACATGTTAGTGCAACAGCGAGAACAGACTGTCTGCTTCCTGTCAGGGTGGTGGGGTTCCGATTTAATGAATATGATTCATTTTTTAAGAGATGGCTGGTTAAGTGCAGGTGGATGAGACGTAAATAAACTGTGAAAAAGCAATGCTCATGTGGTGCCATGTCCAACTTTGCACGGATTTAGTTGCAGAAATATTTGCATTTGCCTCAATTTTTTCTATTCCAAAATGAGGTTAAAAGTTCCAACTGTGAGATGTGAGGGAATTGCATGAATTGTTTAATATCTGTTTGCCTGCAGAAACGTTGAATTTTGTGCCGTGGTGAATGTTTGTGTTTGGCATCACAAAACAGTGTTTTATTCTGGTTGTCGAACGCCCTGTTCAAAGATTAAGCAAAATTCAGTTTATAAATTTTAACAAGGTAAGTGTGTCCTACTAGTGCACTTCAATCAATTAGAATATTCTTATTTTACTTCATTACGCATCGGTTGATGTATTTCAAGATGTGAGGTAAATTTGATGATTTTGACTAGTCGCTTAGAAGATTAGAATATCTAAAAAATACATTAAAAATGGTTTTGCTATAACAATGTAGGCTCTTAGCAGTCACCCAGCAAACAGTCATTGATTAAAAAAAAAGGTTCCTGTACGGTGTTCAAAGCACCGTATTTGAGATTATTAATTGAAAGTTGAGTCGAGAAAAAACTACACTGAAATAGAAAGTGAATACACAGGCAGCAGACATAATAATAACCTTGAGATGATTGTGAAGCTTTTTCCAGGAGGACTTAGCACCTGCCTATCTGCCTACTATCAAATTTGCAATTTGTTGACCATAAGTGTCCAGCAGATTTGCCTGACTGAAACCACATGTAAAAGATAAGATATATTGTCATGAAAATTAATTTAATGGCTAAAATAAATATATTCACAATGACTTTCTAATTTATTGAGATGCACAAGTCACATTCAAATGCCTTCAAAGTATTTTCTTCTTAATCCATCATCTTTGGGATCTATTTACTTTTTAAGGATCCCCCAATGCTTAATTTCTTTCACAAAAGAGACTTGTTTCTTTGTTTGTTGTGTTCTGTTTGGCTTTGAAAAAACACCCAATACGTCTTTGGCAGCTGCACTCACCAGTTTTTGCCATTCATATTTGTCAACCATCCCCATCCCTCTCCACTACCCTCCTCCCCAACCACCCATGTTTCTCATTTCAGAGGGAATCCTGAACAATGCCCGGGATACAAGTGTCATGGATACTCTACCACTGAATGGTAATCATGGCAACAGTTACAGCATCGCCAGTGCTGAGTACATGAGTGACTGTGTTCAGATTATTGATCGGGGATACAACCACAAGGAGACCACCCTGGAAAAGAAGATCCTGAAAGAGCTCACGTCCAACTATATCCCCTCTTACCTTAACAATTCCCATGAGCGCTCAAACGAGCAGAACCGGAACCTCGTGAACAAACTGGTTAATAATGTTAGCAACGGCGGCAAAGACAGTGGCTATGGCATGGGCTTGGGAGTGGGGATTGGCATGAATGTTGCGCTTAACCTCAACGATCACTCCACCTTTGGTACCCACAATGATGAAGGCCTGGGTCTGGAGTTGATACGCGAGGAGTCCAATGCCCCGTTGTTGCCACAAAGACCACTGCCTCCCCTGCAGGCAGTCGACAACCTTCACAATCAGCTTCAGCAGTCCATGTCACCACCCCTTCCGCTCCCCCATCATCCCTTCTCCTCTGCCTCCAACTCCTCATCTTCTCGAAGGAGGATCCCCCAGGAGAACAGTGAAAGCTTTTTCCCCTTACTCAACAATGAGCATAACGAGGATGAAGGTTCATCACCCAGCCACAGCCACCAGAGAGACTCCCTCTACAACAGCATGCCAATGTTGCCTGGCCTGCCCGATGTGTCTGCAGAGTCCACCGATGGCTCCAAGGAGAGTGGAGATGCCAAGAGTCCAGAGGCAAGCTTAGACGACGTTTACTACAAGAGCATGCCCAACTTGGGCTCCCGTAATCACCTCCATCAGCTGCATTCCTACTACCAGCTGGGACGAGGCAGCAGCGATGGTTTTGTCGCACCCCCTAACAGAGAGGATCTTTCTGCAGGAGAGGCTCACCCAGAGCCCTCACACCTGGTCACCAGCCTATAGGCCCAGAAACCCTCAACAAACCCGTGTTTCCTTTTGTTTCCCTAAGTCCTCTTCCAAGTTCACTCACTCCATCTATTGTTGGAAGTGGTAGCCATTGTTTTTAATGTTGTCCTGAAGACTGAGACAGCTTGGCTCTCACCGTTACTGACCACAAACAGGATAAGATTTGCTATAAAAAGAGAGCGGAAGTGACTATCTTTGGTTAGATATTCCAGGAAGTTGATGTTGTGTCCCCAGCCTCCTCCCTCGTTTTGAACCCCTCTCCAGTTTGATGTGTTTTGTCTCCATCTAATAAGAGACATCCACGAAAAATGTACGCCTCAGCGATATAGTCGAGAGGAACCGGACAGTTCCAAAGTCTGAACTCAAAGACTTCAACAGAATAAATGGGGAATTTAAAGAAAAAAGGACTATTTTATTATACTTCTGTAACTATATTGACTTTTTGAAATATTTTCTTCCTCTTTGGTGAGTTGCAGCACATTTTGTTTGCTGAAGTGTTCCTCCAAAATAAGAAAAAAAAAAAAAAAAAGTACACTTACACTTTGGACATTTGCCATGAAGGAATTATAGATTGTATGCTTTCAAGCATAGCTGTTCTTATTTCATTTATTTTATTGTAACATTTGTTAAGAGGGAGAAAAAACTAATGAGAGAATTATGACATATTTCTATGTGACTGTACAGATAACTAGCATTGCACATGATATACTTTTTCTCACCTTGGTTTTGTTTTGCTGTATTTTGTTCTGGGCGAACCTTTTCTCTGTAAATTTAGTGATTAGGAACAGTTTCATTCTATTGTGCTGACCTCTGAATTTTGCTCTGTATCGCTCTGGTTTTCTGTTATGTCACAAATCTCAATAGAATCAGAAAAACCTAAAGAAATTACACTCTGGTCGTTCTGGCATTGCTGTGAAACGTGCTCGCTTCTGTTTCTGGGTCAGTTTTTAATTCTTGTTTGAGTTTACTTCCCACTCTTTTTTTTTGTTCTTTTACTGTGTAGATAGCAAAACTTCAAGGAGACGGGATTGCAAAATCCCTCAGAAAAGTTCATAGTGCATTCTGCATTTGTATTGACACTTGGAAAATAGCTCATGCTTCTTGGACGAGGGGACGGGTCGAACTGAGCCTCGATGTGCACCAGGCACTTGTATAAATAAAGAAAGTTTGTTGTTTTACTTATTAAAGAAAGAGCTTTTGGAGTGAGAAAAACCAGAGGTGTTTTTGTTCTTTTTCCTCAACGAGTGACATTTATTTATTTATTTTTAAAAAAACTGTAATAAGACAAAGGATGGTAGTAAATTTAATGACACAATACTTTTTATAATGCAAAAAAAATTGGTTATTGTTTATTACTTTAACCATTAAAATTTTAATATTTTTAACACATTTTATTTAAATTAAAAAAAAGTTACAGAATACAATACATTACATACAACGATGGGCCTGCTTTCCTGTGTGGGTCATAATTTTTTTACATATAAATGAAAGTGAAGTACTTTGACATAATTTAACCATTACTTTTATTTCCTTGTCTGTCTGGTTTTGTTGTATTCCAAATTAGCTACTAAATTCAAGGCCAGAAATGGGCGTTCTCTGTATGCTGTATCTGCTATATAACTGAGAAGCTGGGACTTCATATTTTGTTACAAATATACCAATATCATTGCTGGTGTAACCATTGCATTCTTTACAAATACTTAATTTTTAACCTTAATCATTCAGCAGGAGCATCTTGGGCTGGCGAAGCAATTGAAACAGAGGTAAGCACGTTCTTACACAGGAAAACTTAGTCTTGTCTTCAATTCAGCTGCTTCTAACTACTTCAAATGTGAAAAATATATGTTTTTGTTTTTTTTGCTGGAAGTTTACATACCCGTATTTTAGGATGAAAATGTCATTCACACATCCGGCTGCTTACAATATTAATACTAATGGGTTCACAGTGAAGTGTTCCATTTTTGACTTTTACCTTGCAGAAAGATTATCTTGGGTTCAAATCCAGGCCTGAGTTCTGTCTGTTCAGAACAATTCAGAATGCACCTTCAAACAGTCAAAGAAAATTGCACCTACTAATAATTGCAATGACAATATACTCATAATATATATTCCAGCCCTACTGTATGCATGGTGGTTGATCTGGTGTGTCCCTTTCACGGCTTGATGACCTGTCCAAGGGGGTCTGCTTGTTCCCCCATGACTGCTGGACAGCGGTGTAGTAAGCGGTTATAAAATTAACACAATGCAACATTTCTGCAATAAAAACAAAAATAGGTCTCATATTCAAATCAACTGCAAACCTGCAGTGTGACTTATTTTTATTAGCTAAAAGCCACAAGCATCAACATGATCCAGTAAAAACTAAGAAAAAGGCTTAGTTTTTCCTGGATTACTAAAAGCAATTCAAATGTTTATATTTTAATTCATTAAGATGCATCTATATCACCAAAATGCTTTAGACACACACACGGACAAGCACACACACACACACACACACATACATATATATATATATATATATATATATATATATATATATATATATATATATATATATATATGAAGCACTAAGGAATCATAGCAGAAAGACCTACGTCTATTTTCACAGAGCTGGTGCCATGATTGATGGCTGAGTCATTGTGAACCATCATCAGAGATGTGTGGCCCTTCTCATTACTCTCAAGATCTTGGGTCACAGGATGAAGAAGGGGAGGGAGAGTGTGTGCCACAGCACTTTCTCCGATCCATATGCTTACAGTAAGCATGGCTCTTTACTTACAGACATGACTTGGGTGGACAGAAAGTGCTCTGGACGTCACTGCGGTATCACTTTGACTGGCATTTGCAAACCCGAGTGAGTTCATGAAATGTGTTGAAGATGTGACACGGGCACCCTTCTCATTTTATAAATGAGCTCTTACGCAAGCTCATAAGCTGGCCCAGGCCGCGGTGATGCCCAGTAATATGCTCACGAAGCACAAAGCAGTCTGTGAAAGAGCATCGGCTGGGGATACTGCGATTGCCAGAAAGATCTTCACTGCCATCTTAAAACATAGACTCAACTGAGTGCATTCTGAATTTGCAAAATAAGAGTTCTTCTAGCAAGTACCAGCTCCACAATTAAATCAAAGTAGCAAATTATTTACTTTTTGACCTCCAAGTACATGATTTCCATATTAGGTGATTGCCAGGACCTGTTTGTGTGTTGTTATTTCCCTTTACAAAGATCTAGATGAAATATTTAAAGCATTTTATGAATGCTATAGATGGAGCACTTGAGAGAGCTTGCTGTTGTAAGCTGTTTCACCAGACAATCCCTGTGAAAGGTGATGTCCTTGTTGCTGACAGTGAAGGGTAAAGCCTTACCCAGAGCCCTTCTGCAGCAGACGCCCAGATATTCTGTAAACTAACTTAATCCTTCATATACCGCAGCATCAAGAAAACTGCAGCACTCTCCACAGCAACTGAGACTTTTGTGAATGAGGAGTAAGAAACAAAAAATATTTCATGTGTTAAAGATTTAAATTAAGTACATTTGTCTAGTTGGGATTTTTTTTATTATTGTTGTTGTTGGCGCTGCATGATGGCCTGGATTTTATGTTGCCATCAAACACAGAACACTCAGCTTGAGATTAACACAAATTGATTCAAGTGACTGACATTAATTTATTTAACCAAAATTCCAAGAGCCAAGGTAGGGGTCATGCCAATTGGGCATGCTGTCTCCAATTAATTTTTTTCAATGCTTATTATTTTCACACAATACTGTATTAGAAATGTCATATATTGTCATCCATTTGAAAAACTAGTTTAAAAATTGATTGTATGTCTTCTTTTACATTTTAAGCCTAATAGGTGATTAGGCTTAAATCACCTATTAAAAAACAAACAGGAATTCCACTTTTTCATTCATGTTTCTTTGTGTTTTTGTGGTTTGTACCAAATTAATTGTATGATGCACAGTTTTTGTGTTCTTTAAGCAATTTTCTTTTGCTGGAAAATTCCACAGACGGGCTTATGACCAGTTTGACACTGAGAGAGAAAGGGAGAGAAGCACCGAGGATGTCCTGATAGGGATGAGACTCCATTTGTGAGCTGTCTGGCTAAGGAAATGATATTGGAAAACCAATGTCTTTTTTCTCATCTCACCACAAGTAATTACCAGCAGCAGTAAATATGTGTGTCCAGATACTGCATGTGTGCGTGTGGGCAGTGTGACGGTAATCTGCATGTGTCTGAGGCCAGAGAAACACCTGCATCCCGCGTGAGCAGCAGTGTGTAAGTAGCTGAGATGTGATGATAGAAAATGCCACATTTCATATCTCACCCATTCATGTGAAATCAATAGCCAGGTCCTTGGCAGAATCCCAAATGAAAGGTAAATCAATGACATCTCCAGCTATGGGTATTGGAACAACTGGACAGCCCCAGCACATTTTATTAAGTCAAGATAGCATTGATTTAAGACAGAGCCGCGTTTTGTCACTATTTGTCACTTTGGAATCTTGAGCTCTCTGAGTGCTGTTGTAACTAGAATACCGGACTCAGAAGGGACGGTTATAAATTATATAGAGCTTTATATAATTTACTCAGATGTATTTTACTCCCCAAATTCCAAGTATGGAAAATGAAATAAAATGGTGTTGGAATTCTGATCCAAAAATAAGTTTTTGATATGAGATTTATGGAGATGATTTCATTTTCCACCTGTTTATTAGTAAGTAAATGATTACACAGATAATGTACAGTGTTATGTAACTTTATATATTCTTCATCAATATTTTTATAAACATCACGGATTGGATACACTGAGCTGCAGGTTTCGACTGCTGGATCCGCTGTGCAAGTACTAGTACTTGCACTAGTACTCCAGTGCAAGTACCAACTTACTTGCACTGGAGTAAGATAGTATTTTGAATCTCTAGAAACACATGGCCACTGAAATTGACAGAGACTTGACTGACTGACTTAAATTTCGAACATTGAACTAAAGAAAGGAACTGAACAATAAGAAATAGGGACTAAAAGAAAACGCACTACCTGATGTAATAAGAGTGGACACTTTTTGTTGGGGAAGAAAAGTAGTAAAATATTTTTTTTAATGTTGCATCGAACAATCTTCTCAGTTTTTGGGTTTTTTTGACAACATGGTAGTTTGTGCTTAGTATCTTCCTTTTTGAACCTAACAAGAAGACTAATTGTAACTACAACATTGGTCATAAATCCAAATTTCTCAACCTTGTTTACAAGTTACACATATTGGTTACAGAAGTTTATGTATTCCTTGTGCCAGGGGCAAACAGATTACGTGACAGTCACAAGAATCCTCTGCGAGTTCATTTGGAAGATAATTTTCAAGGCACACAGGCCACAGGAGAAGAAGAACGCTTACTGGGAAACCTGTAATGGCTGTCTGGGGAATTTCTGTACTACTGCAGGTCACAGCATGGAGCATGTTTCTTATAATCAATGCGACGGCTGCAGCTTACTGGAGGTTGTGGGTTAATTTTTGAAAACGCTCCATCGTTTTTATTTATCCACGAGCTGGAAACTACCACTGAAATTAGTCAAATGAATTGGAGATTCAAGAGCTTGTTTTGAATCAGTTCCTTTGGAGCCATTTTCAAAAACATCTTGTTTTTTGGGAGGGGGGAGTTAATTGATTTAATTCTGTATTTTTATATATTCATTTTTGGTGAATCTCATGACAAAATCATATGTTTAGTTTCCTTGTACATTGCATATTAAAAGTTCATCTTTTCATAATGGACTTGAAGGCCAAACAATTTTAGACCAATGTTAGGAGGCAGCAAGGCAATTCTTTCAATAACTTTGTTCAGTTTTAATAGCTTTTTATGAATATGTCTGTTTTGATTACTCTCTAAATGGGCTGTGCTGCTTCTAATAGTGGAGGTTTATCTTGGAGCCTCAAATAAGTCATCCAGTGTTTCTATGGTCAAAGAAATCTGTCAACATATCTTCAGAATAAGAAAAGTGAACAAGGTTGGAGTTTTTTTTTTTTTTTTTCCAGTTTTAACTCGGTAAATCAGGAGAAGCCACTCTCCTTTTTTTGCACTAAGTAGCTAAAGTTTCTCCTGAAAGTTTTGATTGCAGTTCAGTCAAATTAGTATTCACTCCTATTTATGTCATTTAATATTAAGGTTAGGGTATATATTAATACTAGGGAGAGGTGCACTAAATTCAAACTTGCCATG